AATTTATAAAGAACAGAAATTCTGAGTCATTGCACAAAAACAGAAAAAGAACAGGAATTTATTTTCTTACAGTTCTGGAGGCTGAGAAGTCCAAGATCAAGGCACTGGCAATTTAAGTTGTCTGGTGACGGCTGCTCTCTGCTTTCAAGATGACATGCTGTGGTTGCTCCCTGAGGGGAGAAACACTGTATCCTCACATGGCAGAAGGCAGAAGGGCAAGAGGGCTGAATACGGCATGAAGCCTTCTTTACAAGAGCCTTCCTTTCCCAATTTATGAAGGAGGAGACTTCATGGCCTAATTACCTCTTAAAGGCATCAGCTCTTAATGCTATCACATTAGCCTTTAAATTTCAGCACCTGAATTTTGGAGGAGATACATTTAAAACATAGCAGTTGCACTAGATGTGATCTAACATTTTTCCAAATTTCATGCATTCTTTAATAAATGGCATCGAAATCAGTTTTTGTGATCTTTTGTGAATTTGTGTAAGAAATTATAACAAAAGGTACAAAGATGACTATGCTCATGAATTCAAAAGTAAAATCCCCAGATTGTAATTTTGGCAATTGCCTCTGGTGTTTTGTTATTGCTGTTGTTGCTGCTATAAAACTAAATTAATAAATTCAGGGCAAACACTTACAGACCATGTATATTATAACAATTTTGCCAGACCAATTTATTTGTTTGCTTATTTTTGCTAACTAAATAGTCTCAGTTAGCTAGTCACAAGAAATTAAATGATAAACGGAGGTAACACTTGGTCTCATCTCACACAGTTATCTTGCTAGCTTATGCTGTTGGTTACAAAGAATACCAGTCAAGAGATGTCAGTGAGTACTTGTATTAATACTAGATGGCTATGTAAGTCAGAATACTTCTCCTGTCCTCCTGGAAATTAAACAAAAGCAAAAGAACAAAAAATACTTCAAACTCAAATTTTAGTATAACTAATAAAAAGAAATAATTTCTTGATGCTAAACTATCTGAGGGAAATGTCAAAAATGGATGCCATGTGGAAGGAAAGACATAGAAAAAGCACAAGCAAGTGGAAAAGGACTCAGCAGAGGCACAACTCAGAATGTATCATTAAAAATATGTGCTAGGCTGTCGACACAAGTGGCTCACCCTAGAAGGGAAAGACTATATCCATTCTTTGTAACAATTGTTGAGAAAATTGGAATAAGTAAAACCAGTATCAAAGCATTCTTAGACTCTGTTTAGTTCAGAGAAGCAGACAAAACAGGGCAACAAAGAATCACATATGGGATCCATATTTGCAGGAAGCACTTTGTCTTTGTGGTGGTGGAGTTAAGAAAGCCTTTGCATTGTGAAGTTTAGAAAACTAACCTGGTCCTTCCCTTCCCACCCTCCAGTTCTCAACACTCCTCCATACATACACATATGTACACACACACAAATATCCTGCAAACAGCTGGCTCATAAAATGCCAATCAATTCAATAATAACATTTTTTAAAATAACTATATAACATTGATATAAAGATACTACAAGAACAAATGTAAAAAATTTATTGAAGCAATAGTCTTTTGCAAGAAAGACCACAAACAGAAATATGAGAATTCAGAGTAGATATTGTGAAACAAATATAGATGAACTCTGAGTTTGGCAGGATTCAGAATTGGCAGAATTCAGAAAGAAGTAGAAGAAAAGATTCATCACAAACTGGAACAAAAAATTGGAAGATGTATAAGGACATCAGATATTGTGAGAAAAACGTTAAAAAATATATATGGTTAGAAATGAGAAAAGAGAATACAATGAAGTGGATATGTAGAGAAATAAAAAGAACTAGAAAGAAAAATAGAATAGCTGGAAGACAGACAAAGATGATTAAACAAATTTATAATTGTTTTCCAAAGAAGAAAACATAAACAATGAGACACACAAATTTAAATTTATAATTCAAGAAATATTCCTGAAATTAAAGAAGATTGACATTTATATAAGGCTCACTTTTTGCTCAGAAAAAATTAATCCAGAAAGGTCAACACTGGGGCATACATGATAAAAGTAAATAAAAAAAGAAAAAAATCACTTATAAATGAATACATTTGGCCACAGAATGATTTATGCTAAATAATAATAAAACAATATCTATAAGATACTCAAAGAAAGAGTGGTCCAAGATTCATTCAAGTTGTCCTCAGAAATAAGAGTTACAGATAAATTATTTTAGACATGAAAAACCTCAAATAGTATCATTCCCAATATCCCTCTTGAAGACATTTCTAGCAGATTGAACAATAGTCAAGCAAGAGCTGAAGTGGGCTAGTATCTGCAAGCAGAAGGATTGACAATCAATGTTGAGTGCATTTATTAATAATTTTAGGACTAAGGCTGGAGATTAGAAATTGGAGTGACAAGATAATATGTAAATATTATATATGCTGACAAAAACTTGGAAAAGAAAGAGGGAAAAGTTGAGTGTGCATAGATACAGAAAGAGAAAGAAATTTATCATTTCATTCATAGGTAATAATTGGGAGTCAGAGGATTTTACTTAAAGCCAAAAAAAATCATGTAATAAAATTCTAAGCATATTTAACAGTATGAAAATAAATACTAAGAAAGATAGTATTATTGCCAGGCATGGTGGCTCACGCCTGTAATCCTAGGTCTCTGGGAGGCCGAGGTGGGCGGATTGCTCGAGGTCAAGAGTTCAAAACCAGCCTGAGCAAGAGTGAGACTCCATCTCTACTATAAAAATAGAAAGAAATTAATTGGCCAACTAATATATATATATACACACAAAATTAGCCGGGCACGGTGGCACATGCCTGTAGTCCCAGCTACTCAGGAGGCTGAGGCAAAAGGATCGCTTGAGCCCAGGAGTTTGAGGTTGCTGTGAGCTAGGCTGACACCACGGCACTCACTCTAGCCTGGGCAACAAAGCAAGACTCTGTCTCAAAAAAAAAAAAAAAGAAAGAAAGAAAGATAGTATTATTGATTAATATTTACTAGTAGAGGAGAGAGAGAAGGGAAGAGGAAACACTAATTATATTGCACCATTTAGGTGGGAATAATATACAGCTAAAGAAAGAGAGGACTAAAGTTATTACATAATAATATAAATATAGAGGTAAGTACCACAATACAAATACAAACATTCCTAAAATTCAAAACTATACACACACATAAAGATCAAAGAAAACCAACAATTTAGTGAACAATCTAAAGAATAACTATCAAAGTAGAAAACTCAATGAACTAAAGGCTAGAACTAAGACCAAACATCTTCACTTATAAAAATTAGTTTGCTTGTTAAACAAACATGATCTTTAGATTATATTGCAATGCAAAAACAAATTCTATGATATATACAGAAGCATACATTGTCAAAAAGATAAATAAATAACAATATTTCATAGGTGTCAGTCAAGCCGTAACTTGTAACTTGGAAACTCTCAAATCTCTTCCAAGTTCACTCATGTGATGTGATTGTTGGCAGGTCTCAGTAGGACTGAGGGCCTTAGTTCCTTGCCACGTGGGCTTCTCCACAGGGCTGCTTGAGTATCCTCCAAACATGGCCACTGGCTTCCCTCAGAGCAAGTGATCGGAGAGAGAGAGACAGAGAGCCCAAGATGGAATCTGTAGTCTTTTATAACCTAATCCCAAAAGTCACAAATCATCACTTCTTCCATATTGTAGTCACGCAGATGATTTATTTATAAACAATCACACAGATTTATTCAGACACAGTGTACGAGGGGCCATGCAAAGGTGTGAATACCAGGAGGCAGGGGTCACCTGGGCCATTTTGGAGGCTCCGTGTAGAATAATAACTACCGTCCCTGAGTGAGGGGGAGGGAATGGATAGGTAGAAGTGTCCTAGACTGCTATGTGCTCTAAAGAAGGCTGGGCCAGGCCATTAGGGATTAGCCATCAGCAGGGTACTGTGTCTCCTGAGAATGGGCCTGCCTCAACACCCCTGCTACGACACCCCTGCCATGCTCAGTCATGGCCTGCACAGGCCCTGGGAATCTTGGCCTCGGTGTTAGCATGACAATGGAATTTAGAACAAGCAGCTGGGACGCTGGCCACTCACAGCCTGCAGCTGGAGGTGGCGAGGTGCATTTTCACAGGGACCGCGGTAACTATGGCACGTCTGTTATGTGCCAACACGACTTTGGATGCTTTTATAAAAATCCTTAAACTCAAGTGCTTAATGAGAACCTCAACCTGACCATTGTGCCATTGGACCCCTTTTGTTTTTTACTTCTTTGAACCACTCTGAGCTTCTATTTCTTATTTTGCAAAATGTAGATAATATGAATTGCCTCGAAAATACAGAGGAATCCCAAGTGTGCAGTATTGTACAGGTCTCTGCCAAGTGAGAGCAATACACTGTCATATGAAAAGAACGCATCTGTCTGTGTGCCCCATTAAATAGTAAAAGGTGAGGCCAGCTGCCGAGAAGCAGCGCCAGGGCCAATGCACCACACTGCAGGTGCCACAAGACTGGAGACAAGGTGATGCTCTGGGGTCCTCCCCACCGCCCTGACAGCTCCCAGAGAAGCCCACCGAGATCTTTGAGAGATGCCCAGTGGCACATGCCAGGGCGCGCCAGACAAACTGTCCTGTGATAAGGAAAAAGCACCTCCTGGGCAGACAGGGAACAACAGGTGACAGCAAGCCTAGACCAAGGTGATGCGTGGAAGGTTCTGGCATCACCAGAGGCTGAGGCTGAGACAGGAATGACTGAAATGCGCTCCTCCAGTCACTGCACCAACCGCCGTGTGACAAGTGGCTCTGTCCAGTTCATATGAAGGACATGGCACATGGCCACTACAGGGGGCACCTTAGAACTTTGGCAAGAGGACAGGAGGACAGAGGGGCTTGGTCACTCCAGTCCGGACCCTACGTCTTTGCCACTGCCTGTATTAATTAACCAACCGCCCATCACCGGAGGGCTTTCTCCACTGGCAGGAAGTGACAGAATAATGACCCCCAGACGTAAGCCCCCAAAGAAAGCCAGAGTTCTCCCAGCAGGACGAGGCCCTCACCCTCCATGCCCTCCAAGGTGACCAGCTTGATGAATAAGGTTCCCAGTGGCTGCCTTCCCTTCCCACCGCCCTTCCTGCTCTCCTGTCGATGTTTCCTGGGGGTGCCTCCCAGACACACTATTCCCACCCCGTCTCAGGTCTGCTTCTGGGAAACCCCAACAAAGCCAAGAGTGCAGTGCCCTACCTCCTAGCGGTGTCCTGCAGGGCCACAAGGTGCAGCTGGGCCCCACCATGGGCATCTCCAGGCTGAACATCTGGCCAAACAGGATTTTTCCTCTCCCCCCATCATTGGGCAGCTGGGGGCCTTTTCTCAGACATAACAGGCGAGAGCAGTGAAAACCGCCATCCTCTACCTCTGTGAGCAGGGCAGGTGCACAACTGTACTGTCTCCAAAGGAGAAGAGCAAGAAAAATAACTACTTCTACTTTATGCCATGTAATCCTCAGAAGTGCTCCAAAAGCCTAATTTTATAGGCAAAGAAACAATCTCAGTCTCTATAACTTGGCCAAGGTCACATGCTAGAAGCTGGACTCAGACTCCAGGCTTTCTGATGTCACCTTTCACTGTGCCAGAGGTTCTCCACATATGGTCCCTGGACCCCCAGCATCAGCATCTTCTGGGAACTGGAGAAACCAAATGCTCAGGGTCACTCAGACCTGTGGCCTCAGAATCTCTGGGGGTGGGGCCCAGGCCCAGCCATCAGTGATGGAACAGGGGATTGCTGGCCACTCAGGGGTGAGGCCCCCACTAGAACAAGACTTCTCCCCATAAGAAGGTCGTTTCTGTTTTTAAAAACCTGAAAGGAAGGTGATTCTATACTTGTCATGAATGATAAGATCATCATGTCAGACTCTGAATTCATTTATTTCCATTCGTCCTCACTTTATTGAATGAGAAGTAAGCACTTACCATGCAGAACTGGATTCTGTCATAGACTCAGGAGCTGGTCTAGGAGTTCCAGGCCTGGCTCAGATAACATATTTGTTATTTAAGGGCAACTTGCCTAATCTCTGTGTCCCAATTTATACCAGGGAATAATGATACCAAATCTAACAATATTATGATAAAGCACAGAATGCTCAATACATATTTGTTGAATGAATACATAAATCTCATTGATTGAAGGTGATTGAGTTTCTCAGTCCTTCCATCTATCACAGGAGAGATTTAAGCTAAGAGATAGAGAAACGTTCTGAAAAGCAAATCACATAAATAGAACAGTGGATTATTAGGAGCAGCAATGTAATTATAACATAGTGATTAATATGGACCAAGAGCTCTGATTTCCTGGGTTCAAATCCCAGCACAGCCACTTTACTAAGTGACCTTAGGCAAGTTGCTTAATCTCTGGCTCTCAGTTTCCCCATCTGAAAAATGAGATAATAGTGACAACTATTACGAGAGATGAAATGAGTTAATACCTATTGTTTGAATAGCACTGAGAAATTTTCTCTGCCTTGCTCAGGAAGAATTAAGTTGTCTCCCCTGAACTCAGACAACATTCTGTTCATAAGACTACTACAGTAGGTACTACTGTAATATAGGAATAAAATACAGGATTCGGAGTTAAATTTGAATTTCAGATAAACTAGGAATTTTTTTAGTATAAGCATGTCTCACATATTACATGGGGTATACTTATACTGAAATACTAATTCCTAGTTTATCCGAAATACAAATCTAATTGGACATTCTTTTTTTCTTTTTTAAGCATGCAATCCTATATATATCATCCCCCTCTTTGTGGTGAAGGACCACGTCTTACCTAAATTTTGTATCCTGGGAACCCAGAAAAGTTCCTGACCCATAATAGGTCATTGATAAATCTTTGAAAAATGGATGAAGAGGAAATACTTCCATGACAGGCAGTATGTCCCCCTCATTGGGCAGCTCCAGCCCTTCAGGACCTGATGATTGTCAGTCTCATTACATTTCTTCTCCAGAATCCACTGACTTGTGTAGGTAGATTTTGCTCTTTGGTTAATGTCTGGAAATTACCAAGAGGAGAATAAACATGCCTAAACGCCACACTCTCAACGCAAGCACTTCCTGTCAGCATGGCAAAGGGCACTGTGTTAGAGAACAGAGCCAGACGCCCACTCAGCGCTTAAGAGCTTTCTGTGCACCATGTACTAGCCTAAGAGCAGGAACTCATCATCTAGATGTAAGAGATAGGAAATAGATAAACACAGGAAAAATGTTGGCATTGAGCTAAGGGAATTGGGGCCTCAAGTGGATCACACATTCATTGAAAAGTGAAAATGTTTCTTGTTTCAAAGCAGAGAAAATTTCTCTTGACACGACCCAGCGTATGAGTCTGAATTCTTCTTCCCAAACAGGGTGCTGTGCTTCGGGTCTACGGAGCTCTCCTTTCTCCTGAGACCCTGAGACCCACAAAGCACAGCTGCTGTGACTAATAGACTTGATGCGATCCCTGGGAATCAACATTCCTCATGCTGGACAATTCTTTTTAAGGTAAACGCTAAACCCATTTTGAACCTGGATTCTTTCCTGAGGTATATCAAATTGGGAACCTTTTGCTATCTTGCCTTGCTTCATAAATCTCTATGCTATTTCAAAAATAGTTGACCTTGGATTTTACAGACCATGCTGAGAAGGGTAGAACGTGGTGAAGCCATGAAAGAAGGAAATAGGGGGAAAGGGCCATTAAGAACACAGAGCTTCCTGTGCTTTGCTGTCAGAACTAATGAGCAGTCCCGTCCATAGCATCCCAGCTGCTCATGTAATAGCAGGACTTGTAAAAAATAATTGGATTTATGACAGGCCTTCCGAAGTCGTGTCATTATATGGAGCTGAGTCATGGAATTACAGGCATGAAAAATTAATCAGTCCCTCCAATGAAGCCATATGTGAAGACACAGGGTCAGTTTCAGAAATGAGCAGGAAGGATTTGATGTGTTCCTACGTAGTGGTGGCTTAGTGCTAAGCAAAGGAGAGTCATGCGTCTTTCCCCATCACTAGAATATCTCATTATTCATCTTCCAAGAAAGTGTGAAGTTTTGCAGGACTTAAATCTGGTTAAATCTCAAAAATGGTTAAATTCAGTTACCCAAGATTTTTAATAGATATATAAAGACAAAGCAAGGAACTGTTTCCTTGGCCGATTAAAATTATAGACATTTCAAACTGGAAAGGCTCTCAGAGAACATCTTTTCCAACTTTACATTTTAGAAATGAAGAATCTGAGTCCCAGAAGAGTGAGGACCTCAAAGATCTGATCACCTGTGACCACCTGAGGTCCCACAGCAATCCTGGTGGGTGAGCACATAGTGACCAATAAACATTTGCGGAATGAATGCGTAAGTCTCATTGGTTGAAGGCAAGGTGAGACACATTATAGAGTTTCTCAGTCCCTTTATGCATCTTATTTTGCTTCTTAACAATTTCTTGTTTTCCCTTACGGAATGTAGACCCAAGGTGAATGGTATTTTACATTTATCCTGACTCTTAACACTGAAATAAAAGCCCTTTTTAGGGCATGTTTGTAACCCTGGTACTTGCCATTTCAGATAAGTGAGAGGTCAAGGCATCGGTGGTGTGATTGTTTCTGTGTCCAGAGGACACACATTCACTGGTTGTCTGCCTGCAGGTGGTGAGAGAGAAGCGATCCCAGACCCGAAGGCACACAGCTAGTTGGAGGCAGGGCTGGACTAGACCCCCAGACTCCCACTCCCAGAGCAGGGGTGATCAATTCCCAGCTGCTTCTCAGCTGCGGCAGACCAGGTCCTGTGATCTCTCGGGCAGCTGCCCCTGAGTGGGAGGAAATGGCATGTAGCATAAGGGATTAAGTAACAAAGGCATCCAACAGTTCCATCTTTATCTTAAATAGCATTGCATTTCTATACTGACTCATTGAGTCAACAATCGTGCTCTGATGGCCCACTATGTACCAGCCTGAGTGCCTGGGTGGCTCTGCCTTCATCAAAGGGCACAGGCTTGGTGCCTGCCCTGCAGAAGCCCACCTCAAACAGGGAGAGAGGAGTAATGACTCACCAAAACTCCAGAGTCATCCAAGGAAGGAAGTTTCGAGTAAAACACTGCACAGGAAGCACACAGAAGCAAGGGCATTTAATAATCAGGGGAGGCAGGAGAAAAGGACACGGGATACCAGCAGGAACCTTGTCTCAGTTCTACGGTGAGATACTCACGAAAGTGCATTTATATGGTCTCAGCAACCTGAAACACATGAAGAGCAACTGACCCTGTGTGCTTAGGAGGCAGCAGGAGCCCAGCACACTGGAATCTGCTTTTACCCTTCTCTTCTCTTCATCCCTGGGGAGAGCCCTCTCTCAGAGTTGGAGTCATGAGAATAATTCTCCACTTATCCATTGGGACTTGTGTTCCCTCAGACCAGAATTTGGGTTAAGTTTACTAAAACTTCCTTTAGAAATGTTTTCATCAGAAGGGAAACCCAAGTCACTAGCACATCAGCATACACATGTTGAACCCTCGCTGGTGCAGAAGATCGTGCTGGGTAAGAGCACGGCAAAGACCCCATCTAGCACTGTCTGCCACTGAGCTGGCAGAATAAAACATAGGGACAAACATATATGTGGTAACACGGCAGCACTTCTGGCCACATGTGTAGATTAAAAAATGCAGCAGCTCTTTAGGGAAAGGCAAGATCACTATTGCCTATAACATCCACACGTTCTCTCAACAAGTTACTTAAGGGTCTACTGTGTGCCAGACACTGTTCTAGGTACACAGGATCAGGGATGAAGAAGACAAAATCCCTGGCCACATAGAATGTGCTTTCTAGGGCAGGAGACAGACAATTAACAAATAGGTGCGTTGTCTAATGGCAGGTGTACGTGCAGGGAAGAAAACTGAAGCGGGGTTAGGGGACGGCCTGTGATGGGGGTTTGGGGAGACTGCTGTTTTAGACAGGGCAGTTAAAGAAGCCCTCCGAGAAGGTGACACAGGAGACAAGACCTAAGTAAAGTGAGGGAGGTAATATTTATGAGAAGAAAATGACCAGTAGAGGTAACTAGAAGTGTCCTGGTTTGCTGGAGGAGCTACAAAGAAGCTGTGCAGCTGGAGCAGAGAGCAGGAGGGTGCGCGTCTGATTTAATCCTGGACGTGCTGGAAATCATCACAGGTTTAGAAGGGGTTTGTCACGTCATCTGATCAAGAGTGTTCAGAAACCACCCTGGGAGGGTGGAGAACTAAACACACAACTCTGGACCTGGAATGAGCTGCAGCAGAGGGACCGAGGCAGGGCTGAAGATACACACTTGAGCGTCACAGAATATGTTCTAAGTGTTTTAAGTGTTCACAGGACTGGGTAAGACCAGAAACGTGTAGAGATGGGAACCGGGGCCCCTGCACGATGGACAAGTCATGAGGATGAGAAGAAGTCGGCAAGACCCTTAGAAAGGCAGCCAAAGATAAGAGAGGAAAACCAGGAGATCATGGAGTCTTGAGAAGCCAAGAAAAAAGAAGAAGGAAGCCATTGATAAACTGTGTCCAGCACTCGCCGCCGGGGGATGAAATGAGATGAGAACTGAGAGCTACCAGGGACTTGACAAAAGAAGTTTCAGCGAAATAGAGTATGACAGCCTGCCCATGTGTGCTTCCAGAGACGCAGAGGGAAATGAAGACACCTATTGCCAGACATTATTGCTCTAAATAGGACCATAATTGAGGGAGACCTGAGGTCTAGGGAGGGTTTTTTTTTTTTCTTACTCAAAATGATTGCAGCATATTAGGATGCTTAGGGTAATACTTTAGCAGAGAGGTGAACTGTGTTTTTCATGAGAGAAGAGAAGTACTTGCCAGAAAAGATCCCTTAAGCAGGCAAGAGGGATGGGGCCACTGGCCTTTGATAGAAGTAGGCAGCGTGTATCCAAATGTAGGTACTTTGACAGATTTGTAGGTGGAAAAAAATGGGTTCGGGCCGGGCGCTGTGGCTCACGCCTGTAATCCTAGCTCTTGGGAGGCCGAGGCGGGCGGATTGCTCAAGGTCAGGAGTTCAAAACCAGCCTGAGCAAGAGCGAGACCCCGTCTCTACTATAAATAGAAAGAAATTAATTGGCCAACTGATATATATATATAAAAAAATTAGCCGGGCATGGTGGCGCATGCCTGTGGTCCCAGCTACCCGGGAGGCTGAGGCAGAAGGATCACTCGAGCCCAGGAGTTTGAGGTTGCTGTGAGCTAGGCTGACGCCACGGCACTCACTCTAGCCTGGGCAACAAAGCGAGACTCTGTCTCAAAAAAAAAAAAAAAAAATGAGTTCTTCTCTCCTTGCTTCTGTTTTCTCTGTGATGTAAGAGATGAGGTGATTAACTGATAGGCAGAGGTGGAAGTAGAGAGAAGATGTGGGTGTAAATTACCAGAGAAATGCAGGATTGCAGCTGAGAGTTGATAGAAATTTCTAGTTAGAATTTTAAAGTGAAATGAGCCAGAAACAGCTCACAAAGAGATGAAATTTGAGTTGGCTTCTGAGGAAAGAATAACACTCAGGCTCAGAGAGACTTGGGACACTGAGTTAAAGAAAAGAAGAGTTAGAACTGTAAGTACCTGGAAATCTGGTATGACATGGTCTTGTTCACAGCAACAATAAGCACTAGATAAACATTTGTTGAGTACATGAATGAGTGAATGCTAAGACCTATCCAGAGAACAGTGCGTGTGGGCCACTTGAGCCTGGAGTTCTTTGTAAGGCATCATGGTGAAGGTTGGAAAATAGATCAAGACAAATTCAGGAAGCTCTCAAACTCCTGGATAGAGGCTTGGCTTAAACCTGCAGGCCAATGCAGAGCTACTGTCAATAAGTACAAGCTGCCAATACAAGCTTGGTTATGAAGTTCTGTACTTCACAGAAGTAGGAATTAACCCAGTTCCACACCACCCCAGACCACATAAATGATTGCATTCTTCAAGGTCATGTCTAAGAAGGAATGCTCTAACTTGGGAGTATGAAATTCATACTCAATCACATTATGAAAAAAAAATTGAGTATTTTTAAAAGCCAGCATGTCCACTTGGATCTTTTTTCTGAGATACTATAGGGATCAGGAGAAAACAAGAAACCATTTTCATGCGGCTCTTCAAAGTAGAGGGAGAATTGTGGATCACAGGGCAATGTGAACCCACATCAAAACCCAATGTCATCCCTCCTTTCTAGGTCAAAGGGGCCTCAGAGCAGTGATTCATAGACAACATGTGCCCTCAAAGCTTTGTTCTCTCCGTGGTTTTAAATGACATTTAATTGGCTTGCATTTTAACTCAGTAGAGTTCGAGGGAGGAGACAAGAATGTTGTTATAAAAAAATTAGAAAGCTTTTTCAAAGGGAATCATGTTCCAGGAAGAGAAAGTCATCATGGGACACTTAGGAGACTTGTGTCTCTGAGCTGGGGAACATTTCTGCACCTCAGCCTTCATCCAGATGTGCCTGTAGCTCAAAGGAATGCCATTATCACACTAGGTGAGCAGGGGGAATGGCCATCACAGTTTAGACTCAAAGCTCCTTCCAAGACATTCTTGCTCTAACAGTGGTCAGAGAAATGGGACTATAGCTGAATGAGATGTGGGGTCTAGGCTTCCACCCCTACAGAGTTATGGAGCTTTAGTGTTGGGAGGGGTCTCGGAACCCATCTCATCCCACAGCCCAGCCAATGCAGGAGTCCCATCTACATAACTATTTTAGAGTTAACCTGACCCACAGGATAGCAGCCTGCAGGTACCATGTTTGGGTAAGAATTTTTAAAAATGGAAAAAGCAACAGAAATCATTCAGCAAAGTGCATGTCACCAAATAAGACACAATGTGTAGAATCAAAGGTCTTTGAAAAAGGGAATACTGCCCATGAAACATGCAACCCATTGCTGGGAGCCACTGCCCAGTGACACTCACACTCAGCCATTCTCTCCCTCTGTCCCCTGGCCCCCTGCAGCCTGCATACTCCTGAGGCAAGTCCCCAGCTCCTACCAGGAGGCAACGCCCTCTGCTCTCCTCTCTGCAGACTGCACCCCTCTTATGCACACCCCTTATCTCTGCAACCCTCTTTCAGTAGGATCCTCTGGTAGGATCTTTTCAATCATTTAAAGCCCATTATACTTCGCTCAGCCACCAGGAACCCTGAAAGATCACCCTGGGGTCAGATGGTAGAGGAACTGTGTTTCTTACTCTACTTTCATTGTCATGGTTATACATCTTCACTACAGAAAGATTAACAGTCTAAAAAAGACCAGAAAACAGAGCCTCCCTGACTCCCACAGCGGCTGTGGTTAACACCATAGGTGTTTTCTTTTAGTTGCCACTCTATGGATATTTATGTTTTTTACCCCTAAAACATTTTGCCATCAATTCTGTGTAGATCATGCCATGCTTTACTACATATTTTTATAGCAGGAGAGTTTTTCACATTTAAATCAGTTCAAAAATACTGATTCATACTA